CATCCCCACAAAATGGCCTGCAACCAGCCCCTGCATCCTCACAATCTGCTCTCCAAGCGAAGAATGTTGGGCCCAGAAACAAGCAAACCGCCTGAGACATCCCCACAAAATGGCCGCGAACGAGCCCCTGCAACCACCCCTGGCGGCTCCCCTTAGGGGTGCTGAAACCAGCGCCCCGCCTGAGACATCCTCACAATCTGCTGTGTGTTGAGTAAGTCTCAGACTATGAGTAAGTCTGAGTATGAGTACGCCTGGGTATGAGTAAGTCTGAGTATGAGTAAGTCTGAGTATGGATATGTCTGAGTGTGAGTAAGTCTGAGTATGAGTACGTCTGGGTATGAGAATGTCTGAGTATGAGTAAGTCTGAGTATGAGTAAGTCTGAGTATGAGTAGGTCTGAGTATGAATATGCCTGAGTATGAGCATGTCTGAGTATGAGTAAGTCTGAGTATGAGTATGTCTGAGTAAGAGTAGGTCTGAGTATGAGTAGATCTGAGTATGAGAGTGTCTGAGTATGAGTAAGTCTGTGTATGAGCAAGTCTGGGTATGAGCATGTCTGAGTATGAGTAACTCCGACAGGAGGGGAGGAGGAAAGAGGAGGAGGAAGAGGGAGTAGGAGGCGTCCAAGTAATAACAAGAACCCCATCTTAGGATATGGGGAAACATACAAACTCGGAGGTCCGCGCGGATTTCTCGGATCGGCGCTGGACCCCCCTCCCTGGTGCGCAGAGCGCGCCAGGGGCGGCGCCGGAGGCGCCGCCGGGGGGGCCCCAGCGCCGATCCGAGAAATCCGCGCGGACCTCCGAGTTTTTATGTTTATGTCACTTTTTGTTCCTCTACTTCAGGACGTAAGCCCATCGATCTCATGTTCTGGGGTCTTGATGCATCCTCTTGAGCTCCCGTTTCCGGCTCCACGTCGCCCAAGACAGCCCCAGAAGCTCCCACAATCGGCCGAGGGCGGTCCAGGGGGCCCCCAAGAGGCTCCAAGAGTGCCCCTGATATGACCCAGGAGCCCGTCCAGACGGCTCCTGAGCCTCCCAAGACTGCCCGACGGCCCCCCAGAGGGCTAAGTCCGGAGCGCTCCCCCCCGATCTCGCCCCCGACGGCCAGCAGGCCTCGAAGACGTCCCCGACAGGCTCCCAGAAGGCCCCTGGCAGGCTCCCGGGAGGCTCCCCGGAGCTGTCCAGCGGCTTTCCAGAGACGACTCCGACAGGCTCCTTGAAGGTCCAGATTGGCGCAACTCAGCGAGGTGCGGGGGGCTACGTTGCAGTGCAATGTCATCAGTTACAGTGCTGGGATCAGCGCGTGCGAGAAGGGAGAGCAATGGCAGCGGGCGTTGGCGCTGCTAAGTGAGATAAGGGAGTTGAAGTTGGCGCCACCTCGGATCTCTTAGCTGTGTCGCTTCAGTGAAGGCTCGCTCGGAGCGCTCTCGGAGCCTCTTTAGGCCACTCGGCTCCTCTGGGGCCCCTCCCAGAGCCCTCTTGGGCGTCCCTGGGAGCCCACCAAGTGATCATTTTGGCGGGGGGTCAACATCAACACTTCGAGCCTCAATGTGGTATCGCTTCAGGCCTTCCCAGATTCTCTCGGGGCCTCTGAAAGCTCGCTCGGAGCTTCTTTAGGTTACTCGCGGGCTCCTCTTGGGCATCCCAGAGCCCTCCCGGGTGTCTCAGAGAGAGCCCAATCAGCCCTCCAGAAGTGATCATTTTGGGAGCCTTATTCTCGCGTCGCTTCAGGCCCTCCCGGATTGGCTCGGGGCCTCTGAAGGCGATCTCAGAGCGTTCTCGAAGCCTGTTTAGGCCATTCGGGGGCCCGTATTGGGCTCCTCCCAGAGCCCTCCTGGGCGTCTCGGGTACCCCAAAAAGTGAGGGCTCAAATTGGTCATTTAGAGCCTCAATGTGGTGTCGCTTCAGGCCCTCCCGGATTCTTTCGGGGCCTCTGAAGGCCTTCTCGGAGCGCTCTCGGAACCTCTGTGAGCCACGAGCAGCAGCAACAGGACGAGGAAGATGGCACGAACCGACGACGACGACGACGACGACGAGAACGACGAGAACGACGACGACGAAGACTTACCCTCCGACGCACGCCCCTGGCCAAGTGATAACGAAGCTCGTCATTGGCTCGAGGAGAGTAAGAGGAGTAGGAGGTAGAGGAGGTGGATGAGGTGGAGCTGTTGCTCCTGCCACTGCCCATGCCCCTGGATGTGCTATGGCTGATACGGCTAGCTCCGTCCTGGCCGCCTTCATAATCATCAAATAAACAGCGCATCCTGAAGCAATGAGCAGCAGCAAGGGCACTCTGACCACTGGCAATCGTGGGCGGCAGTCCACGGGTCAGCCCTAGTCAGCTACGGTGCTGGGATCAGTGCGTGCGAGAAGGGCGAGCAGTGGCAGCAGGCTCTGGCGCTGCTGAGGGGGCTGTAGGAGGCGAAGCTGGAGCCCAACGTCATCAGATTTTGGACCTCCCAGTGCAACATTACTTTTGGGCCCTTGCAGCGTCCGCGA